TGTGTGTGTGTGTGTGTGTGTGTGTGTGTGTGTGTGTGTGTGTGTGTACGTGATCTTCCTTTATTCACATGCTCCACTCTAGGGTATTTTTATCTCTGGTTTCCCATTCTGCTTTCTGGTAGAATGGTACAGATTCCACATCTGGCAGTAATAGGTATTGAAGTATGGTTAAAATATCCATTAGCAAAACTGTTAAACCCCTTTAAGAAGCACAAGCCAATGGAAGAAAAACTCAAAGAGACAATACCACTTAAAATGGAATATTTACACATGCTTTCGAAATATAACTTAATACACTTCTAAATAAATTCTGAAAAGCTGATTGAACTTCTAGTGTTTCTGACAGAAGTTCCTTGGTTAAAATTTAAACATGGCTTATAAGCCTAAAAAGGACTTTCCTTTATCAATAGAAATTCATCTTGAAAGACTCTCTAAGAACACTGTAAAGTATCCAGGGCAACAAAATTACTGTATAGAATCCAATAATATATCCTCTTAGCCTATTTTTCTCTTAATATGACCCAAATAGTACTGTTTCTTAAATTGTTGAAATTTATGCCATCATTATCAATTTGATATTCCTTGTACAATCTCAATACGTCTGTCCAACCAGTGACATAGATTCAAGTTAATTGTTAAAAATTCAACCTGGACAGGATGGTCATAAATCTACTCAGAAAAAGGAAACAAACTAAAATTTTACACAAATAATTCTGGCTTTTATGATTCAAAAATCGGTGAACTGGCTATTGAATTTTCTAACTTTAATTGGTAGCAGGTAGTAGAACATCTTTTAAAACTATGATTACCAGTAAAAATTCACCTTATTCATTATAATATAGACTTTTCCTTGGTAATTTATTTCTGTGATCTCCAGATTAAACTATAAAACTACTGCTTTTCACTGAAAGGCATTATAAATTCAGCTCTGAAATATCACTCTAGAGAACATTTCCTCTTTTGAATGTCTAACACTGCTTTAAAAAGTTATTTTCCTTTCATAGGATGGATGCGTTTACATTCATAATCCTATACAAAACTCTTAATTTTGAAATAGACTTGCAACTCAATATTCTTTGTGAAGGAAAAGATAATATTGGTACAGTTAGTAGAATGGAAGAAATGTGAAATACAAGATATAACAGAAGGAACAGATATTCAGAAAGAATTGAGTAATTTGTTTCTAAAGAAAATCATGTTTAACTATTCAAAAAGTGGTTTGAATATAATGAGAAACAAAATCCCACCCCCCAAAATACCATAAAATTTCAAAAATATTAAAAGGTATTAACTATAATGAGTCAGACTTTTCAACAAGTTAAAAGCCAAAATTTACTACCTCATGTATTTTGATAACTTCAATTGTGCTCATGATTCCCAAATCTATTAACTTCAATTTTCTCTCCAAACCTTAAAATCCAAGAGCCTATGAATATTTCACTACATGTCCCAAAGGCATGTCAATAATCTTCCTCTCTAAGCTTGTTCTGTGTCCTGTGTTTCCTACTTCACACATAGGAACTATTCATTTGGTTCTGAAGTCAGAAAGCGCATCTTGTCAGTCTTACTTCCTAGAGTTGTCTATTTCTCTCATGGATACTGCCACTCTCCTAATACAGTTCTTATCATTTTACTCCTAACTAGTGTCCTTGTCACTACTCTCATTTCCCTACAATCCACCTTTTATGTAGATTAACAAGGGCTAGGATAATGTTTTAATGATCTAATTGTAACATTTCATTTTCATTATTTCAATGTTCCTCTATGTCCATGATGATGGAAACTAAACTCAATATCATGTGTAGTTCTGATTTGTTGCTTATCTATCCCACCTCATCTTTTACCACCGCCCCCCCCTTCATTCCCCCCATACTCCCCTTTGCACTCTATTCTCTGGACATATTAAACTATCAAGAAATCTCATGAAATTCTCTTATGAGAGCCACTGGGCTTTCATATAATCTGCTCTACTTGTTTGGATCACCCTTTCTCTAAAAAGTGCTCTGCCTGTCTGGATCACTCTTTCTCTCACTGTCCCCTTTCTCTAAATCTTTTCTTGGCTAATTCCTAGTCATCTATCAGGGCAGTGTAGGCACCATCACCGCGTGGAAGGCTTCCTAGATCTTCTCCCTCCCCTAATCCAACCCCCAGGCTGAATCAGGTATGTTTCTGACAAACTTCACTCATACATTGTGCATACGTCATTATGGTACTTAGCACATTCTATCATAACAGCCTCTTTCTTTATCTTTCTCTGAATTATACCATAGGCCTTTGGAAGGTATGCCCACTCAACCTCAGTTTCTAACATAATTCCTGGTACATGTCAATAAATGTTTGTTGAATGGATGGATGGCTGGATAAATGAATGAATTAGTTCCCTTAGAGAGGGGAAAGACCTTATGCCAGAGATGCTGCCTTTGCTTAAGACATTTGTGGAAAACAGTTTAGGAATTGCCTTCAGAATCAGCTTATGAGCTAGAAAAGGGGGTCAATATATCCCTGCCTTTTTGAGAACACCTTTTTGTTGTTGTTGTTGTTTGAACAACAGAAATGTGGAATGAAGCTTATCATCTAACTTTATTCACCAGTTCCATGTGATCCACTCTCAAGGCTAAGGATGATGTAACAACGTGCCCCAGTTCTGAATACAATTACAAAGGTGGTTTTAATGAAATACACATATTGCCTCCCAAGGTGGCTACCTGAAAACGTAAGTTCTGGTGTGCTTTTAAAAAGAAATCAGTCTCACTGCTTTTTTTTTATTATGCTTTACATTTTGATATTTGAATTAGTTATTGTTAGTGAATGTTGATCATAAAGTGATGAAAGAAAAATCTGTTTCAAAATATTAGCTAGTGAATTTGAACACATATTTCCTAAGACTATCTTGAAATATTTCAAAATCAGATTTTAAAGTTTTAGCTCTCTAGGAAAAAATTGAGAAAATCCTATTATTTTATTCAGATTCAAGTTCAAACATTTCTTTTAAACCACGGTTGTCAGAACATACTTTCATTGCCAAACTCTCTCCAAGGGATGCAATATTCTCAGATTTTTTATCCAAACATGCTTGCAGGCATTCCTTTTCTTTAGCCAGATCATTGAGGGTTGCACCGAGAATGCTGATTTCTTCTCGCTGGGCAATACTTTGTCTTGTAAAATTATCTAAATGTGTAATCATAAAGGCATTGTTTTAATCAAGATAAATTTTTTTCCAGTTCAAGCAGAGTGAAATACTTTTCAAAGAAAATTATCCTGTATTATATTCAATGACTAAATATAAAGTACTGTATCCCAAATAAATAATGGCTTTTGTTGTTAGTGATTAAAAATGAAGGTTAATCATGAAATTCTAAATGATATAAATGTAAAAGCACAATTAATACATTTGAATTAGAACAGCAAAGGATATATGTGGAATCTAGAAAAATGGTACAGATGAACCGGTTTGCAAGGAAGAAATAGAGACACAGATGTAAAGAACAAACATATGGACACCAACGAGGGAAAGAGGTGTGGGGGGAGGTGGTGTGATGAATTGGGAGATTGGGATTGACATATATACACTAAATGTATAAAACAGATAACTAATAAGAATCTGCTGTATAAAAAAATAAATTAAATAAATTCAAAAAAAATAACAGAAAAGAATATGATAAAGAATGTATATATAGATATATATGTATAACTGAATCACTTTGCTGTACAGCAGAAATTAACACAACATTGGAAATCAACTATACTTCAATAAAGTATATTTTTTAAAAAAAGAACAGCAAAGGAAAGTTCTTTATAACAAGTTCTCAAAGTAGGATGTGTGGTGGGGTAGGGAGGGTGTGTGGATGTAGCACGTGGACTATCAATTTTCCCCCCTCTAATTTCACCTCCCTCTAGCTTAGAATCACTGTTGGATGTAAGCTGGTAACTAACAGATCTTAATAAAATATCCAGTTAAGTCATCTTCAGAGTCAAATATCTTCTAGTATTTTGGTTTTTCTAAAGTAGTGTTATAAAAATTCCTAGAAAAAAAATCATCCCAGGAAGTCTGATTTGATTTGTAAGAATGCTGGCAAGCCAATGTCACTGTTGAAGGACTGAAAGATGGTGTGGAATAGTGGTTTCTAAATTGTGGTTTCTCAACCAGCACCATTGGCAGCACCTGGGAACTTGTGAGAAATACAAATTCTTAGGTCCCATCCTAGTCCTACTGAATTAGAAATTCTGAGTGGGCAGACCAATTTATGTTTTAACAAGCACCCCTCCCAAGTGATTCTAATGCACAATAAAGTTTGAGAACCACTTGAGGAAATTGGTAAGGATACAAAAGCCCTGGCCGTATCCTACTTCGAGGAGCCCAGCTCAATGAGGTTTAGCTCTCCAGGTAAAGACTGAAGTTTGAGAACCACTGGTCTAGAGCCCTACTAAGGAAGCTCTGTGTGACTAGACCTCTAAGTAAATGCCCACCAAGGGCCACCCAGTGCACCACTAAGAGACGTAATCCCATATGCCAAGAGGGTGATTTATATAATACATCACATCCCTTTTCCAGGCAAACCACATGTTTTGGGTGTTCTGTTATCTGAGTTCATTCCCATTGCCATAAAATAAACTCTAAAACAACTAGTATATCCTAGCTTAAAAAAATCCTCAACCCCACATCCCACTTAAGCTACCACCCCATTTTTCTCCTACTCTTAATAGCCAAACTTCTTAAGACTTCTATTCTCTCCTGTTTCTACCTCCTCACTTCCCAATCATTCGTCAACCTACCCCATCTTCCACATCTAACACTGTAATTCAAACTTTTTTGGGGGGTCAGTGCTACCAAAACCTCCAATGTGCCAATCCAATCAATGTTTTTTCATTCTCATCTTATTTTGCTTCTTGAAAGTATCTGACAATTGATCATATCCTCCTTTTTAAAACATGTTGCTTTCTTGCTTCCCAAAATGACACTCACTTCTGGGTTTTCTTCCTATGTCTTTGGCTTCTTCTTACTGAGTCCTGGATCCTCTTCTCCTCATTCTCTATATTTCCCCTAGGTGATTTCATGGTTTTAAAATATCATTTATATGCTGATGTGTCCCAAATGTATATCTTTAGCTTAGATTTCTCATCTGAGATACAAACTTATCTATTTACCTGCTTACCCTACCTTTTTACTTGAACTTAAAATATCCAGAAATGAGTTCTTCAATCTTCCCCTTTTATATTTTCTTTTAATACTTCCTGTCTCAATAAAAAGCACCTCCACCCACCTAATTGCTTATGTCAGATATTTTTGAACTGCATAATAGTAAATCTTAAAAATATTTATTGTTTTAAAATGGGCTCTTTTATAGTCTTGACCAAAATTTTACTTTAAAGTTATAACCATATTTTCATAAAGATCACTGGTAAGAAACAATAATAGGAGACTTTATAAAAATAATCTTTATAAACTCAAGTGATACCATAGATATAGCCAAATATATGTACACTTTCCACCAAAGATAGTATATATGTAATGTATTTCATTACAACAGCTATGGGCATGACATATAATACAAAAACTTATAAATTCAAAATTGATCATCATAAATTTACAAAGTATTGCTGCTTTGTTTAGCTATTTCTTCATTGAAAAATATGAAGCCATGTCTAAGTATTTATGGTCCTAAATTTAAGTAAAAATTTTTATTATCAAAGAAAAATATATTTTCCCATGATTTCTGACTAAAAAACTTTAAGGGCATATTTCTAAGTTTATCTATGTTATAACTGAAGAGAAGAAAACTTTTTTTTAAACCAGACTTTAAAAAAAAAGTAACATCAGGGAAAAAAAAAACAACTCACCAATTTTTTCATCCAAGCACATAATTTTCTCCTGAGTAAGCTGTAGCTCATATTTTTTCTTAGCAAGGTATCGTTGAGTATCAGAAAGATCTTTTTCTGTGTTTTCATATAAAAGTCTGTAAACATTTTAATAATGAAACTAATTCTGAAATTTTGTTTTATCAACTTTTTAGTGTATTTAAATCTAAAAACTTTTAAGAATACTAATGTACATTTTTTTCTTCTTAGTATTTTCATTATAAAAACACATTATAGGAGGTTTGAAATATAAAGGATAAAAAGGGATACTCAATCCGCCACTCCAACATAAGCAACTATTAGCATTTTGGTGTTCATTAGTTCGTATTTTTTTGGCTACACGTATTTTAAAGTTACCATATTCTAAATTCAAAACTGAATCCTGATTTTTTTCCACCTACACTTAATCTTTAATATTTTTTAGTCTTATTATTCAGCCCTCCAAATTATCATTTTTTGGCTGAAAAACCTTATATGAGCAGTAACCATTTACTTAAGTACTCCCCTAATATTAGACATTTAGGTTCATTTCAGGTTTTCACTATTACAAATAAATCTGTAATGAATAGCATTTCATTGAGTCCACAAACATTTATTAAGTGGCTAGTATGTACCAGGCACTAGGTGTTGAGGAAGCTATGGTGAACTAGGTGGGCAGTGGCCCTGGTCTCATGGAGTTCACAGTCAATAAACAAATATTAATAAGTAAACAGACTATAATTTCTGGAAATATGGAAGCTAGATAATCTGAAAGTCCTCTCACCACAAAACACTTACACATACTAAATATGATGTAAGAAGCATCCTTTTAAATGTATAGCAAAACTTAGAAGGATTTGTAAGGGAAGTCCCCTGGAGCCAAATCAGAGCAATAAGACAATGAACTGATGTTATGTTAGATAAAGTTGGGGTTTGCCTGTCTCTGTGGCCTAGAGTCTTGCCTTTTAACTCAGAAACAGAAGATGAGGCCACAGAGATGGCTGCAACACAAGTATTAGAACTAAGGTCCGGGAATTCCCTGGTGGTCCAGTGATTAAGACTCTGTGTTCTCACTGCTGAGGGCCCAGGTTTGATCCCTGGTTGGGGAATTAAGATCCCACAGGCCATGTGGCATGGCCAAAAAAGAAAAAAAAAAAAGAATTAAGATCCTCTACCATAAGGCCACTAAGGGCTACACTATTACTGGAGAGGACTAGAAGAAATCAGCTTGCCAAACATTGCTAGGGCCAGGGTAACAAAAATAACTAAAAGTCTTCATTGGGAATTCTCAACCTCAAGATAAGAAATCAAAATAAAATCTGGTTCCAGGATGGTCATATAATCTAGAACACTCAGTGGAAATAAAAGTTCTCTGGAGGGACATGTCCTCAACTCAGGCACAAACTAAACCTCAGACAAAGGTCTGTTGAAAATGAGCTCACAATTCAATCTCAAAAACACATTAAGAAACAACCCAAACTTAGTGGGAGTCAAAATACACACAAACTAAATTAAATCCCAAAGAACTTCAGATTATAGCATTATTAAATAGCAATTTAAAAAGTTTTAAATACTAAGACATAACATAAGTAATAGAATACACAATGAAAAGAAAAAAGAACCAGCAGATTTTTAAAAGAACCAAAGAGAACTTCAGGAAATTAAACTGAAGTCACTGAAATAAAACTTTTAAAAGGACAACATCAAATGACAAGTTTAAGAACAAAATAGACACAGCTAAAGAGACAATTAGCAAGATAGAAAGAAAAAAAAAAAAAGCCAGATCAGAGGAAATTACCTATAATAGAGCACAGAAAAAAAAGATAGAAAAAATACAAAATAAAGTTTAAGAGACATAAAGAATAGAATGAGAAGGTCCAATATTCACCTAATAAAAATTCCACAAGAGAATAAACATAATATTCAAAGAAACAATGGCTCATATAATACATGAAATCTTAAACTAAAGAAACATCAATGAAAAACATAAACAGCAGCTTTGAGGGAATGTAAATCATGGGTAGAGCCAAAAAAAAAAGCTGTATCTATTAAGACAATTATAAATGGAGGAGGGTAAAAGTATTTAAAGGGACACAAGATTTCTACATTTAAACTGATAAAATGTGACACCCGTAGGCTGTGTGTATAATGTAATATCTAGAGCAACCAATGAAAACATCTACATAGAGATACTCAAAAGTATTAAAGATAGCTCCAAATGAAATTCTTAAAAATGTTCAAGTAACCCACAGAAAGGTGGGAAAAAGAAAACAGAGATAAGAAAAACAAAGGGAAGAAACAAACAAAAAAACAAATAAAACAGGAGACTTGAGCCCTAACATATAATAATTACATTAAATACATAAGGTCTACCTTATTTGTGTTAGCTAAACACTAGAAACAATCAAAATGTCCCTCAATAGATGAATGGTTAAACTGTGGTACATCCACACCATGGAATACAATGATAAAAGTACATAAAACTATACATACACATTGAACTAGTGACAATTTCTGCTTCTGATATTGTACTATAGTTATATAAAATGTAATAGCTGGGAGAAATTGGGTGAAGGAATCTCTCTGTATTTTTGCAACTTCCTTTCACCCTAAATTATTTTAAATTTAAGAAGTAAAACAAATTCTCAAATCCAATCTGCACAACTAAAATAAATAAATAAAAATCTCAGGGTGGGGGGACTTCCCTGGTGTCACAGTGGTTGAGAGTCCACCTGCCGATGCAGGGAACACGGGTTCATGCCCCGATCTGGGAAGATCCCAGATGCCGCGGAGTGGCTGGGCCCGTGAGCCATGGCCGCTGAGCCTGCGCATCCAGAGCCTGTGCTCCGTAACGGGAGAGGCCACAACAGTGAGAAGCCCACACACCGCAAAACAAACAAACAAACAAAATCTCAGGGTGGGAATTAGGAATCACTATTTTTTTTAAAGTTCCTTATTTGATTTCAATATGCAGCCAAGGTTGTTAAGGAGTGCCTCCTACTGCTGCTTCACCCAGGGGAGCAAAAGGTGAAAAACTGACAAAGCAGATGTTATGTAAGACAAAATGTTATTGCAATTTTATGGTGTCTCTCCCATCTTAGGACTCTTCCATCCCCCATAGTGTGAACTCAATGAGGCTGTTCCCCCCAAAGGACTGTATGACATAATAACTTATATCTCGATGGAAAAATGTGCTCACAGACCAAAATGACAAGACATTTGAAAAGACAAGTCATTTCAAAAGAAACAAAATATACTGATTACAGAATCCAGCAATAGCAGATATATTAGAAGAAACAGATCAAAAATTTTTAATTAGACTAATAAACATATTAAAAGAAAGAGAAAGATATCAGCAATATGAAAAAAGAACCAAGGGGAAAAACAGATGTGACAAGTATGAGAAATGTAATAGATGAAATTAAAAGAAAAAAAAACAGATGGTGTAAATAGCAGAATGAATATAGCTGATCAATGAGTTAGCAAACTGAAAGACCAATTGAGGATATTTCTCAGAATGAAGTATAAAAGGACAAATAAATTGAAAACATGAGGGCTCCCCTGGTGGCGCAGTGGTTGAGAGTCCACCTGCTGATGCAGGGGACACAGGTTCATGCCCCGGTCCGGGAAGATCCCACATGCCGCTGAGCGGCTGGACCCGTGAGCCATGGCCGCTGAGCCTGCACGTCCGGAGCCTATGCTCTGCAACGGGAGAGGCCACAACAGTGAGAGGCCCGTGTACCGCAAAAAAAAAAAAAAAAAAAAAAAAAAAATTGAAAACGTGAGATGAAAAGTTAGAAGACTTACCAAACCTGACTTTAAGACTTACTATAGAAACCATAATAGAGAGCCCAGAAATAGGCTCACATTTATTCAGTCAATTAATTCTCAACAAAAAGCAATATAATGGGGAAAAGAAACAATTGGTATTGGAACAACTGAATTGCCATGTGGGGAAAAAAATGAATCTTAACCCCTACATCACATCACATACAAAAGACATAATATAAAAGCTAAAACTATCAATATAATGCTTTTGAGAGAAATCACAAACATACACATAAGAAGTTTTAACCAATTTTAGTAAATCAAATCCAAGGATATAGAAAAACTATAATACATCATGTCCAAGTGGAGTTAACTCAGGAATGCAAGGTTGGTTTACAATCTAAAATTATTTAATGTTATTCACCATATTAACACCCTAAAAAAAAGAGAAAAAAGCCATATGACCACATTAATAGATGCAAAATAGACATCTGACAAAACTCAATATCCACTCTTCATATGAACTCTCAGCAAATTAGGAATAGAACTTTTTCAATCTGATAATAGGCACCTACAAACAGTCTACAGCAAACATCACAATGGTGAATGGTTGAATGCTTTCCCACTAAGATTAAGAATAAAACAAGGATGACTGTTCTCATCCTTCTATTCAACATTATACTAGAGGTTCTAGCCAGAGAAATAAGGCAAGAAAAAGAAACAGGCATTCAGATTGGAAAAGAAGAAGCAAAACTCTCTATTCACAGACAACATGATAATCTATGTAGAAAATCCTACTGAATCTACCAAAAAAAACTATCTTAACAAGTGAGTTTTAGCAAGATTGCAACATACAAGAGCAGTACACAAAAATCAATTTTGTTTCTTACACAGGAATACCTCATTTTATTGCATTTTGCTTTACTGCACTTTGCAGATATTGCTTTTTTTTTTTTTTTACAAATTGAAGGTTTGTGGCAACCCTGCATCATACAAATCTATTAACACCATTTTTCTAACAGCGTTTGCTCACTTCATGTCTCTGTGTCACATCTTGGTAATTTTCAAAATATTTCAAACCCTCCACCAGCAAAAAGATTGACTTGCTAAAGGCTCAAATGATAGTTAGCATTTTTTAGCAATAAAGTCTTTTTATTTTATTTATTTATTTATGGCTGCGTTGGGTCTTCATTGCCATGTGCGGGCTTTCTCTAGTTGTGGTGAGTGGGGGCTACTCTTTGTTGCAATGCACGGGCTTCTCATTGCAGTGGCTTCTCTTGTTGCAGAGCACAGGCTCTAGGCACACGGGCTGCAGTAGTTGCAGCACGCGGGCTCAGTAGTTGTGGCGCAT